TTCCGTCGTTGATCAAGAATCCGATGGCTCTTACGTATCTACACATACACTCATGACCACATTATATATATATATATATATATATATATATATATATATATCTTCCAGTGAGGATCGCAAAATGGCTCAGTCGTTGGAGGAGATGAGGGAGAGGGATAGAGCCGACGGTCCGGCCGCAGTTCTAGCCATTGGAACGGCCAACCCTCCGAACACGGTTCTTCAGGCCGAATACCCTGACTACTTCTTCGGCGTCACCAACTCTGAACACATGACCCATCTCAAAGACACGTTCAAGCGCATGTGTACGTAACGCTCTTATACTATATAGTTTTATGATATTTATATTTCTTTGTATTTTCACGTTTGTCGTTATATGCATGTGAATATGAATGTGTTTTGGACAGGCGAAAAGTCGACGATAAGGAAGCGTCACTTGCACATGACAGAGAGCTTCCTGAAAGAGAACCCTAATCTCTGCGCCTTCATGGCTCCATCTCTCGACGCTCGCCAGAACGTGGGGGTGGTGGAGGCCACTAGGCTCGGGATGGATGCGGCCGTTAGAGCCATCGAGGAGTGGGGTCAGTCCAAGTCCAGGATCACTCACCTTGTCTTCTGTACCATCTCAGGGCTCGACATGCCAGGAGCTGATTACCAGCTGACCAAGCTCCTCGGCCTCAGCCCCTGTGTCAAACGACTCATGCTGTATCAACAGGGCTGCTTCGCCGGCGCTGCAGTTCTCCGCCTCGCCAAGGACCTCGCCGAGAACAACCGTGGCTCACGAGTCCTTGTCGTCTGCTCCGAGATCACCACCATCACCTTCCATGGCCCTTCTGAAGCCCACACCGACATTCTCGTCGGTCAAGCCCTATTCGGTGACGGCGCTGCAGCTGTCGTCATCGGCTCTGACCCCGACACAAACCTCGGAGAGACACCTAACTTCGAGCTGGTCTCGACGGCTCAAACGATCATCCCGGACTCAGAAAACGCCATACTCGGCCACTTGAGAGAATCAGGGCTTGTGGTCCAGCTCTCAAAAGACATACCTAGACTGATCTCCGACAACATTGAGAAGAGCCTGGTGGAACTGTTCGAGGCACTCGGGATAAGTGACTGGAATTCTGTATTCTGGGTGGTGCACCCTGGTGGTCCTGCCATCTTGGACCAGGTCGAGGCCAAGCTTCGTCTGAATCCCAACAAGATGCGAGCCACGCGTCACGTGCTGAGTGAGTACGGCAACATGTCGAGCGCGTGCGTGCTCTTCGTCCTGGACGAGATGCGGCGGAGATCGGTGGAGGACGGGGCCAGAACCACCGGAGAGGGATTGGAGTGGGGGATCTTGGTCGGATGCGGACCAGGTCTCACCGTCGACACCGTCCTCCTCCGCAGTGTCCTTATCCGTTCAAAGTCTTGATAGAACAGAGAAATAGTGGAGAATTGTTGGATTTTTCATTATTCAATATAAAGAATTACAATATTTACAGATAGAAAATAGAATCACAATATATCTTATTTAATCAATATAAATATAGAAAATATAGAAATAAAATCAAACCTAAATATTACGTAATCTTCTCGAATCTTTTTCATATTTCTTAATAATAAGACGATTATATATTGAATAAAAAAGCTTTCGTTTTCTTGTCACAGCTCGAATGGGTGTTTGTCTTCTATGTACTTAGTTTTCTTCTCATTTCAGTTGGCCATGCAAATCCAAAGATTTGAAGAAACAAAAAAAAAAAAACATTGGAATATCTATATTCGACAATTTGCTTCTAAAAGGAATGTAGCAAATTAAACAACTTATGTCTTATGATATTCAACCAAGCAAGAAGAGAAGAAAATGAACTGTATACCATTCCCAGATCGTCGAACTAAGCAAGAATTATGCGTAATTACATCCTTGCCCTTCACCTCCTCTCCTCCGGCAAGACTCTGTCCGAATATGATCGACAATATTTGGGCCTTTATTTGGGCCTTGTTTTCAATTTGGGCTTTATTCAATGCCCATACGTTTCAGCTCTTGTACTTCGGCGGAAGAAAGAAGTTTTTTTTTTAACTATATACGATAAAATATTACTGTTTCTTAAAAAAAAAAAAAATTTATAACCTTTTTTTGTTTTCCTATTTTATCAATATGCACACTGATTTGTTTGTAGTTTCTTTAATTTTTTATTTGTAACTTTATAATTTCCTGTAATTTTTTCACACAAAAAATTAAATCAAATGAGGAAACTGATAACCTAAATATTCATCCTTAGGTGTAATCCCTTTTGTGTTGTGCATCTCTCTAATATCTTTTAAATTGCACTGTGGGGATTTAAAAAAAAACGACGAAAAGATATTCAAATTCCTAACCAGTGATCATCTCGATAGTGATATACGCAATTTGTCTCGTCGTCCAAATGAAATTCATTGTGAACAAATTAAATGATCAATCTTAGTTTGTATAGTTCTTTTGTTAAACAGAAAATTCCGAATAGTGGGTTGAATAGATCGGTTATTACCGGTCTTGCGCGGCGCCGCTAGACGACTATGGGTTTCGATCGGTCGGAGACGATAGAAATCGCCCGCAGCGGACTGCGGTTGGCGGTGACTGTATGCAAGTAAATTAGGAACACGGAATCTGAAAACGTAACCGTTTAGACCGTTTGTTTAACCACAATTTGAATCACATCGTTCTCCATTATTATTCCGTCGTTGATCAAGAATCCGACTATTAGAGATCATAAACACAATGTCACGACTAGGGGTGGACGAACGGTCGGTTACGGTTATTTCGGGTTATTAAAACTCATAACCAAACGGTTAATTAATTTTATTCGGTTCGGTTTGGTTCGGTTTCGGTTCGGTTCGACTCGGTTTTGTCTATTTAAAACTATAACCAAATAAAGATTCGGTTCGGATCGGTTATAATATTTAAAAAATCAATTCATTTGACCACCCCTAGTCACGACTCAAATGTTATACAACGGAATTTCGACGTCGATCGTGTTTTTTTTTCTCTGTGAGAAAATCATCACGATAATAGTTGCATATCTTCGTCAAAAGATTACCCTTTTACGGGTGCTCGTAAATCATTATATTTAATTAATTAATTTATTTAGTAAATTATATAATGTATTATGTAGCTCCTAATTAAATTTAGCTAAAATTATAATAAATTCTAAAACGTGTTTCTCCTTTTCACTGTACGAAGAGAAGGAGGGGGCATTATCATTCAATTTGGACAAGTAAGAAGCGAAATAGTTCGAACATGTTAAACATAATATACTCGAGACCTATCAGTGATTTAATGTCTGATATTATTCTTGAAAATATATATATTTTAAAATTCAACCATCATATATATAGTTAAAAAAAATTCAACAATAAACTCGTGTATCCATATATATACAGATTCGGATTGGGTTGATCATCGTAACGTCGATACTAATAATTATATAGTCCAAATTGGTGGCTGAATTTTTTGACAAAAAATTTCCACGATGTCATTGTTCTAAATTACACAGAATACATAAAGATATATTATTTAGAACAAAAAGTTTTGGCATTTAAACCAAACAATATTTATACACGACATAAATCGTCTATATATTATTTCGTCGATAAAAATCAGATAATAATGAAAATCTGATTTTTTTTGGATTTGACAATTTTTTTTAGTGAAAGCCATGGTCGCGAAAGATAAAAACGATCGTCGTGACAACGATAAACTCTAATCGCGATATACAACTTCATCTATATATTCTTATCAACAAAGCATACTTAGTTTTTTTTTTTTTTTTTTTTATTTTAGAAAGCTTTATATACAGTTTTCGAACCCTCTTCCCCTCCCCATATTAAAAAAAAAAATTCTCTAACTATCTTTTTACCATATAGATTACTATTTTTCACTTACTAATTTTTTACCATAATTTTTTATATTTAAATCAACAACTAACATTTGTTTAAAAGAAAACAATAAAGATAATTTTAAAAGTAAATAGAAAAATATCTCATTAATATTGAGAGATGGCACTAAATTAGATTTGAAAACAAAGGAGTTTCGAGGCCACGTTTTTTTACTGGAGCCGTCTAGGGTCCTCTGTGTTTTGAAATGGGGGCCAATTTTTTCTCTCTTTTTTTTAACTATATGATTAAGTTTTTTAAAAAATGCGATAGGTGTATCGTATTATATTAACATCGTAATAATCAATTTAAAATTGTATTTGAAGAACCGAGTACTGAAACTCTTACAATTTTATCTTACAAATTCCTTTATTGATTTTATTAAACTATTACACATTTTAAAAAATAAATCTCTTACTCTCATTTGTTTTCTTTTTAATTTTAAATCAACCCTAAACTCATAAATCCTAAATGCTAAATCATAAAACTGTACATCCTAAATCACAAAACTCATAAACTTCAAAACTTAAGTCATAAATCCTAAATCACAAAACTGTAAATTTTAAACGAGAAAAATAGGGAATTGGTTTACAGTTTAGTATTTAGGGTTAAATTAGAAAGAGAATAAAAGAGAACAAAAAAAAAAATTTCAAGTGGTGTAATAAAATTAAAATACGTAATTTTTAGAGAAAATCCCAAAACAATACCTAAACTATTCAATTTTTACAAAATAAAACATAAACTTTGTTTTTTATCAAATAAAACCTCAATTTCATTTTTTAGTAATAAATAAACATGAACTTTATAATCATTATCATTTTTAACCATACGTGACATTTCCGACATCATATATGAAAAGTCAATACTTTGACCATATTTGACATATCATCATCTACGTGACTGGAACGTCACATCATCAATAGGGTTAAAAATGACAAAGATTATAAAGTTCATATTTATTTTTGTCTGAAAAATGAAGTTGATGTTTTATTCGATAAAAAAAAATTAGGTTTTATTTTATGAAAATTGAAAAGTTTAGATATTGTTTTGGGATTTTCCCTTGTTAAAAATAAATTTTGATCATCTTTAAAAAATAAAGAAGTGAATTTTAACCGATTTCTAAGAATATATAGCCTAAACGAGTATTGTATGTTTCTTGTATCATTGGGCTATTTTGGGAGTCGGTGAACAATATTTTGCAATGGATGAAAAAACAAAACAAAAGCTTTAAATTTTGATATAGTTTATATGAAATATAGACAAAAAAATATACGAGTTTGGCAAATATATAATATTATTATACGGTATTTATCTTTTTTTTTTTTGCATGTTCACAAAAGTGACGCATATCCAACTTGTTTAACTCTACAAACGTGGCTCTTACATATCTACACATACATTCATGACCGCATTATATATATCACAATGGATTAACTCAAAAATCGCAGAACTTTTATTGATGCTTATCGGAAAAGAATCTCTGGTTTGTTTTGCACGCAAACAAACTTCGCAGTGCTTATTGTCTACATAAGTATTAGAAGGAAAATCAAACACAGAAATCTTCGCAAGAGCTTTTGAGGAAGGATGTCCCAAACGTTTGTGCCATACATCAAAAGAATGAGTATCCAAAACCCGAGTAGCTGCCAAAATTTCTGCACTTCGAAAATAATAGAGGTCCGCTTTCAATTCACCCACTCCAAACGGCGTCTTGGTAGTGCGGTCCTGAATTAGACATAATTTCCGAGCAAACGTCACAATCAGCCAACAATTGAGATATGGAGATCAAGTTGGTATGTAGGCCCGGAACGTAAAGAACATGCGACAAACTCAGATTCTGTCCGAGGAAAACCGAGCCAGATTCAACTGAAATCGTCTGTCTACCATCAGGGAGAATGACAGAGCAAGGTATAGTCGAAGACAGATTCGCGAAACCAGACTTGTCACCTGTCATATGGTGAGAGCAACCAGAATCCAAAATCCAATGTAAAGGAGAAATCGTACCAGTCATCGTCTCGGTAGCATCGTGTTTCCCGGCATTAAGCATAGCCAACAGAGCCTTCCATTGATCATCATTGATGCCAGAGAGAATGGTTTTATCAGCATCTGTGATAGTAGAAGGAGGATGAACGCGTGCTGCGTTGGCTGTGACCTGGATAGAATTTGCCCGAGCTACAGCGGGGTGACTGCGATCTCCTTGCATCACCGGTGAAGAGGAACCTCTGCCACGACCAGCTCTGTTGCGTGGTCTATCGCCCCACCAATCAGGGAATCCAATGAGCTTGAAACAACTTTCAATACTATGTCCAGATCTGCCGCAGTTGGAACACAACACTGATTCGTCTTTTTCAGCGGCTTTTAGGCGAGGTTTAGGCGATGCACGGACCGAAAAAGCACTCACCTCAGGTCTGTTTTCGTGAGACAGAGAAACATGTTGCGTGTCTTCATCCTGAATAACCATATTGTACGCCTCTTCCAAGCTTGGAAGTGGTTGGCGAGACAAGAGATTCGATCGGACAACACTGTACCGAGTTTCATCTAATCCGAGAAGGAACTCGAACAACCGATCCTCATTTCTCTCTTTTTCGAGTGCAGAGGCGATATCACAAGAACAACGACCACATTTACAGACCTTCAACGTTCTGAAATTGGCCAAGTCGTCCCAGAGTTTCGTGAGTTTGCCGAAGTAGGATTCGACAGTCATTCCGAGTTGCCTGCAATTGGCAAGATCGCTTCGAATTTTGAGAAGACGTGGTGCCGTAGTCTTCCCAAACCGCCTTTTCAAATAGTCCCATAAATCAGTAGCAAATTCACGATGAACCACATCCGAGCGGAGGTGTGGTTCAAGCGTGTTTTTGATCCAGGAAACAATGAGGGCATTGTTCGTGTCCCAATCTTCGAAGTCAACCGATTCAGGGGTAGGTTGCGGAATAGATCCGTCAACAAAACCGAATTTCTTTCGGGATTTGAGGGCTTGTCGGATGTTGATCGCCCATTCGTCGTAGTTATCTCCGCGCAACAAAGGCTGAGACAGAATCAAACCGGGGTTGTCACTGGGCGTAAGATCACACGGTGAGATCGTACGTCGTGAAACAGTAGCAGTGGGTCGATCGTTCATTGTAGAACGAGAGGTCGGGTCGGTCGGAATGTTGTTCGTCGGTTCGGTCGAGGTATTGCCGGTGTCAGTGGACATTATAGCAAGAGATTAAACGGGATTTGCAGTGGTCGAGGCTCTGATACCATGACACGTATCAAGCAAAGAGAGTTTGGAGAATATGCGGCTACTTCATTCGAGCCTGTACATCCAGGTTTTATACATGTCTGTTGTAACTTAACCTAGCTACAAAATAGGAAATAGAATCATAGATATGATAAACTCCCATAATACGTAATATACAATATGTATATCTCATTATGATCGCAAAATGGCTCAGACGTTGAGGGAGAGGGATAGAGCCGACGGCCTGGCCGCAGTCCTAACCATTGGAACGGCCAACCATCCGAACACGGTCCTTCAGGCCGAATACCCCGACTACTTCTTCCGCATCACCAACCCTCAACACTTGACCCGTCTCAAGGACACGTTCAAGCGCATGTGTACGTATAGTTTTATGATATCTTCCTTTTGTATATTCTCACGTTTGTCGTTACATGCATGTGATCGTGAACGCGTTGGATAGGCGAGAAGTCGATGATAAGGAAACGTCACTTCCACATGACAGAGAACTTCCTGAAGGAGAACCCTAACCTCTGCGCTTTCATGGCTCCATCACTCTACGCTCGCCAGGACGCGTTGGTGGTGGAGGTCCCTCGGCTCGGCAAGGGCGCGGCCGTTAGAGCCATCGAGGAGTGGGGTCAGCCCAAGTCCAGGATTACTCACCTCGTCTTCCGCACCACAGCAGGGGTCGACATGCCAGGAGCCGACTACCGGCTCGCCAAGCTCCTCGGCCTCCCCCCATCTGTCAAACGAATCATGCTGTACCAGCAGGGCTGCGCCGCCGGCACTGCAGTCCTCCGCCTGGCCAAGGACCTAGCCGAGAACAACCGTGGCTCAATGGCTCGGCCGTTAGAGCCATCGAGGAATGGGGTCAACCCAAGTCCAGCATCACTCACCTCGTCTTCTGCACCACAGCAGGGGTCGACATGCCAGGAGCCGACTACCAGCTAGCCAAGCTCCTCGGCCTCCCCCCATCTGTCAAACGAATCATGCTGTACCAGCAGGGCTGCGCCGCCGGCACTGCAGTCCTCCGCCTGGCCAAGGACCTAGCCGAGAACAACCGTGGCTCACGAGTCCTCGTCGTCTGCTCTGAGATCACCATCAGTACCTTCCATGGCCCTTCTGAAGCCCACACCGACATTCTCGTCGGTCAGGCCCTCTTCGGTGACGGCGCTGCAGCTGTCATCGTCGGCTCCGACCCCGATACAAGCCTCGGAGAGAAACCCATCTTCGAGCTGGTCTCGACGGCTCAGAGACAATCATCCCAGACTCAGAAAACGCCGTACTCGGTCACTTGAGAGAATCAGGGCTGGTGGTCCACATCTCAAAAGACATACCTAGACTGCTCTCCGACAACATAGAGACAAGTCTGGTGGAAGTGTTCGAGCCCTTTGGGATAAGAGACTGGAACTCTGTATTCTGTGTGGTGCACCCTGGTGGTTCTGCCGTCTTGGACCAGGTCGAGGCCAAGCTTCGTCTGAATCCCGACAAGATGCGAGCCTCACGCCAAGTACTGAGCGAGTACGACAACATGGTGAGCGCGTGCGTGCTCTTCGTTCTCGACAGATGCGGCGGAGATCGGCGGAGGACAGGGCCGGAACCACCGGAGAGGGATTGGAGTGGGGGATCTTGATGGGATTCGGACCGGGTATCACTGTCGACGCCGTCCTCCTCCGCAGCGTCCCTATCCAGACAAAGCCTTGATAGAATCTATGATATATTTAATATCGTAAGACGACTATATATTGAATAAAAGGATTTCGTTTATATTTTACTTAGTTTCCGCGTAAGAACGTATTATATACACAAAGTAAATCGAAAGATTAAAAAATTTGTCATGTATCCATATGACGTGATCCATTGGGATCAACTTAAAGGTGAGACGCCGTCTGTATTTATAAGATGATTTGAGAGCAATTATAGAATTCATGATTTAATCTATCAACTTAAAAAAAATTGTATTTATGTGACACATTGTTATAAAATTTACGTATTTTTTTTGGGATTTTCTCAAAAGAAAACAAGCGTGTGCTTTTTTTTTTTTCATGAAGGCGTAAAGATTTAAAGACATTGGTTTACTGATGTAACAAAAAAAATAAAAAACGGTCAGTAGTATTGGTTTTACCATATGGCACGAGTAAATTCTGGACCATCCTCTCTACGCTCGCCAGAAAACCCTTGAAATCTCCGGAATTTCTCACAAACTCTAGCCTCTAGGGTTCTTCTCGCTTATCGGTCTTCCCGTTAATCAAAATCTCGGATTTTTCGTATTCTTCCTGTTTCCATCTCGTCTGGGTAAGTCTCGCATTTTGAATTCGTTTCCGGTTTTGCTTATTGAAATCTGCCGTTTCCGATGCCATCTCTCGTCGTTATTACTCTATGTCGGCCGTTTGGTTATCGAGAAAGTTGGACGAAAGTGAAAACAAGGTAATCGATGAAGATAGATTTTCTAGGGATTTTAGAATTTTCTTTTCGTTGAGAGAACACTGACGGGAGGTTGCAGATGCTGAGTTCGTTCGGGTTCTGCATCCAAGTACCTCGTTAGGGTTTTAGTCGATGTTTTGTGAGCTATTAGTCGTGATTTTTGATTAGGGTTCTGATCCACGGTCGGGGTAATAGAATTTAGTAATCGGAAACCAATTTCTCGAAATGTATAAGTCAGAAAGTTGAATCAAGTTTGTTACTTCGGCTAATTATCTTGCTGATCCTCCCTTCTCCTTTCCACTAAAACAGTCCATTTTCGATTTCATTTGCTTTTATTCTGTGTATGATTCATTGTTTGGTCGACTTTGTAACTCAGTTTTTCGCAGTAATATCTGTGCGCCCCAGCAGTTCTTGTACTGAGGTGAATGAATGGATTCTCGGATTCACAGCAATGGAAGCTATAATCCGACATCAGGAAATGACCCTTCAAGACCTGTGCCCCCTCCTCATCTGCAACAGAATCCAGCCTCTACATCTGCTCCTCTGATAGTTCAACAAGGTTACCGAACTCCTTACATGTTTCCGCTGCCTCCACCTCCTTCTTCATCAGTTGCTCAAGCTCCATTAACCACAATGCTAGATACAACTCAATCTTATACACATTCATCATATTTATATCCGACTTCTCAACTCAATTCTCAACAGTGGACTTCCCCTTCCCCGAGTAGTCAAACTTATCGTCCACCTTCAATGGTGTTGCCTCCACCGCCACCTTTACCTCCAGGTACAACTCCACGAGGGCAAGTATTGTATAGGCCCTCTTATTCCATGCCAAGTCTCCCACTTTCAATACCTTTTGGAAATTCGGAGTCTCCCGGGGGTTTTCTGCCTCCACCACCTCCTCCATCTTCGTCATCACTTGTCCCTGTTCTTGCGGCTGGAAAAAGTGAAGCTGGGAAGCATGTTGGAGAAGCCTCTGCTTTCAGTGGCCAAGTTCCTGACCACAAAGGAAAAAGTTGTTCTAAGGTGGATCCCGCAGTTGGAGATGACGGATCAGCAAAAGGGAGTTCCGCTTGTCATGAATATTCGTCACCACCGGAGAAAGCTGAAGTGGGTTCTCCTTTATGCGCGAATTCTGACACAGAGATGGAAGGTTCGTGTTTGTCAAATCGAAACTTTTATCAGTCTTCTGTTTATGTATGTCAAGTGTGAAGATAGGAAAGTTTGGATCTTTCTCGTTAATCCACATGCCTATTTTGTTTTCGTGTTTCAGATGATATCACACAACCTGAGGATGATCTGCAGGTGAACTACAACTACCCGAGCCAGACTCTTAATTGTGGTTCCATTCCAACTTCTGCGACACTGTTTAACAATGAACAGTTGACTTCGCAGTATGTTTCAGCTGAAATCAACTCTACCATGGGTCCTTCCAGGAATCTCCAGACAGGGCCTTTTCCTGGCGATAACACATTGAGCTCTAATGTTCAATTAGGCCAGGAAAAGGATAGTGATGGATCAAGACAAGCATCTTCTTCACCCTACTCAGGGAGAGCAGATAATGTTCGTGAATCTGGCAGCGGTGATATGTACGACCCGTTCTTTGACAGCATCGAACCATTGCCGAATGTGTCTAAGACACCGACTAGTTTTCAGGAGCATGAGCTGGCTAGTGACTCTGGCATTATGCCGAAGCTCAACATTTCCTCAAACGGACCACCTGATATAGTAGAAAACAACAAAGGCAATGATACACAACGGCGTTGCGACTCAGACATGATGCCAAGGCCCAGCCTTTCCTCATGCAAACCTCCTGTCATTGAAGAAAACACTAGAGGAAATGATATCGGAGCTGTAATTACTGGCAAATCCGAGGAAGACGAGGAATTCGGTGAGAATGCCGATGGTGAAGCAGGAGGGGTTAGTCTTGATACTGATAGTCCCGACTCTCCTGATGAAGTAGCGGATTCAAACACTAAGGTGGGTGCGGATGAGAATCCAGCGGGGAAAAAGTCCATGGAGAAGACAACAGACAAGGAACCGAGGTCCACGAGGCATTTCAAGGTCGTACTCACACAGTTCGTGAAAGATCTTCTGAAACCGTCATGGCGGCAAGGTAATATGAGCAAAGAAGCGTTCAAGACGATTGTGAAGAAGACCGTGGAGAAGGTTTTGAGATCGATGGAGGGTCGACGTATACCCAAGTCAAGGGCTAAAATTGAACGGTACATCGATTCCTCCCGGCATAAGCTAACGAAACTCGTCACGGTAAATATCATTAACCTTGACAAAAAAAATTTTGGGCGAGACCCATTTGAACATTTTTGAACGAGATTGTAAGCACTTGACGGGTTATGTTGCGCAGGGCTATGTCAATAAGTATGTCAAAGCGTAGAAGATGACAATCATCGGCCTTTTTCACTTTGGTAGCTCCTTATCCAGTGGTTGTGGAGATTGGAAAACAGATGTTTTTTTCTTCTTTTGTTTTTAACCATATGAGTCCTGTCTGAGAACGATGAACATGTGTACATGATTCTGTTTTGATATATAAGAATCGTTCTTGGGTTTATGAGTTCTTGTAGCACACGAATCAAACATTTGGTTCGGGTTTCTTGGGATAAGAATTTGACTAAAATAAATACTTGATCGGAAAGATAGAGCTGCCTCCGTAGCATAGTGGTAGTGCGTTCGCTTCGTAAGCGAAAGGTCGCGAGTTCGATCCTCGCCGGGGGCTTTTCAATTTTAGTATAAGCCTCCTTAGCCTTTTTTGTACTTTTAAACGATTTTAAGAATTCGACAAATTAGTTTTGGTTCAAAACAAAAAACAATAGAATTAAACAATTAAGCCCAACATGTATGATCAGTGGGTCTGAAGAGCCCATATTTGAGGCCCATAAAGGTCATTTGCTTCCAAATGGATGGAATTAATTTCTGTCGCTCTCACATCTCATATATGTATTTTTTTTTTGGGCTGCACATTTTGTATTATGCACCTATTTCTATATTGCGTCTTGTGAGCGTTTCAAACGCTTACCATATAATGTAATATTTTATTTTGTGAATTCAAATATTAATGGAATATTTTATGTATAATATTTAGGGTAAATCATAACCATATTAATGATAATATCTTCATATAAATCATGCATGCCAAACCTTCCAATTTATTCATTTGAAATACGAAACATACGTTTTTTTGGCAACCATAGTAAATTTGTACAGTCTAGCATCAATTAATTACAATACTAAAAATTTCAAATGTTTCTTAATGAAAAATTTATAAATAGGGAATATATAGAAGGATGACATAGCAATCGCATATATAAATAAAAATGAAAAATAAAAAAGGGAAGTTGCATGCCTATAAGTGGGTGAATAATGTGAAAATGAAACAAAGTGGTCCTTTTTTTTCCCTATCTCTTAACTTTGAAGCATGCTGATGATGAAATAGCAGTTTCTACACATGGACCAACACACACATGCATATATATATATCATTTTGATATAAAAAGGTTTGAACATAAAAGTGCATTCTCACTGGGGCATGCCTCAAAAAATTCCCACTCCAAGGAAACTTTGTTTTTTTGGTATACCAAATATATATGTTGATCATCCATAGATTAATTTAACATATATATATATATATATATATATATATCCGTTAATTAATTTCCTCATGTGGATTTTTGAAGTGACATATTTGGTTACAAACAGAAAAATTGGTACTGAAGATGAATGGAAGACCGATTCTTACTTTCAATAAGCAATGAATTACAATCATGAATCTCTTTACGTACGTAGTGGGTATTTATGGTTTAGGGCTAGAATGATGAATTGATTAATAAAACTCCATCGAACCACCCAAAGAGAAAATTGAATTCCATGTATATACATACGTTTCCCAATTCTCCCATTGAAATCAATATATATTGGCCCCACAAACGCGGGAGAGAGAGAGAGAGAGTCGTGAAAGGAAGGGGACAAGAAGGAAAGAGTCTTGGATCATGTGAAATAATGCTGATAGGGATCAGTGCTTGACTGCAATTCAGTTGCTGTCTTAACTACTTGTGTTGTTTCCTTTTCCTTCTCTGACCCCAGACTTAGCATCTACTCCTAGTTTTTCTTCCTTTTTCATTTTCCATTCCATTTATTTTTTTTATTGATTTCACACAAAAATGTGTATAGCTTCTCCCTTTTTTTTCTAGGCATCTAAAAATGATCTATACATATAAAAAAACATTTACATATACATAATGGGTTGAGTTTATATATAATTCTGACCCAATCAATTATCAATTGTGTGTGTATATATATATATATATATATATATTCAAATGATGGGTCTAAATGGGTTTAGGGTTTAATCCATGAAATCTTTGAGTTAATCAATGACTAATAAGCAGATACTGTTCTCTCCCCTCTATTCCTCTACTTCAACCAAGCAATTGGGTTTGTTCCTTGATTCAAGGTTGGAAAAAATGTTTTCCATGATCTTTTGGATCAGTTGGAATATATATATATACTTATGGAACCTACAAAATTTTTCAAAATAGTTATAATATATATATATATATGATTTTCATGTGTTGCGAAGCACTATATTGAAAAATATGAAGAGTTTCAATTCCTATAGAGTTTAGATATGTATTCTCATGGTTATCACCATGATGACAAAGTAAATTTTGAAATGGATCTATATATTGAACTTTAAATTTCAGAGAGATTACCGGCCGGAGACAAATTGCGTATGTTTTTGTATGTACGATGTGATCCGATTACAATTATTATATATAGCAATATAATCACAAGTCAGCTATTATTTGGTGATAATTAGGAGAAGGTAGCCCAACATTTCTCATATATGACTACGTACGTACACACATATGAGCATGTACGTACGACGTCTACGTGTTTATGAAATATAGCTAGGGTTTGGCATGCAATATGTCCTTGAATCTAGGCATTAGAAAACCCCATCTACGTGCATTTTATACTCTCTTATATCTGTAACTTCTCGCGTATATTACAATAATTATATTCACATAATCTTATGCGTATCTGTAACATTATACGTACGTACATACAATCCTCCATATACGTGCTTTTCTTCTTACACATCAATACATCTATAAGGGTACGTGGCTAAATAATTGTTTAATCACATCAAACTATATATCATGAACCATGGACATTCTGCAGGATTTACAAGTGGAATACATACATATGTGAATTTAAATCAATTTTTCGTATCAACAGTGGTTATATATTGATCATAAAAAAAATAGCCAAAGGTCTTATAACCATATGTACGGATAACATAATCTAACGTTCCATGCCTTATTAACTCTCATACAAGTACCATTTACCATTTTCCACAGGAACCCTAATGGAGAAAAATAATCAAGATTACCAATTCAAATTACAAAACTACGAGCTACTAACTAATTAAACTCCTACACACACAAAGGAAGCAACATATTATGATGACAATAAATATAGAAAAGTGAATTAATATTCAAAATTATACCCAAAATGTCACTAACCTGATCGCATGATCAGTTAATTTCTTGCTAGACCAAGATTATTGGGACTATACATACAAAGGAGAGATTATATATAACCCCGACACCATATGCATAATTAACACAAGGATATGTGCATATACATATCTTCATCATGAATCGGAGTCATTGTCGTTGCTATCTTGGTTATTCCTCTGCAAATCATGGAACCCGGGATTCGCATTCATCAACTGGTGGAACGGTCTAATGAAGCTCGAATTATTACCCGACAACATCTGTTGCGTTGATGAGTTTGAAGAAGAACTGAAGAGCTGAAGATAATGACCGCCATCGACGTGATTGGAAGCTCCAAGGAACGAAGGGTACGTTGGAAAGAGAGGACTCATCGCTGTCGCCGGAGGAGGACAGAAGAACAACTGAGATCCCTCGCCAGTCGACTGATTTAAATTATTATTAGCCGTTGATGCTACAGTAACGTTACCGGATTGGTCGAATGATTGTTGGGGATGTCCGAAGTTGAAGTAAGAAGCGTTGGCCACTGTCGGGTTATTCAGCAATGTCGAGTAAAGCTTGTGGCTTTGGCTCGAATTCGAGTCGATGCCAAACCCATGATCACGATTGTTGTCTTGATCGTGCTCACGGTGATGATCGTCGAATTTGATCCACTTCCCTTTATCAAGATCGAAACTTTCTCTCTGGGCATCGGTTCTTGATCTTGCTCTTGAAGAACCGGCACTTCCAAGGTCCCAGTTATCGAAGAAACCGAGGTTTCCCGACAACGATTCGCCGTTACTCGAGCTCCCGAACATGAGATTCGGATACAATTGGTTGAATCCGTGAGGAAATTGAAGAGGAGGAAGTTTGTCGACGTCGTCCTTCGCGGCCTCGAGGAGCCAGTCGATGACTTTGCTGGGCTGACTCAGCCCTAATCTGTCTTGGAGATCGTAGAGCTGAATAGCGGTGGGGACAGACAACCTTATCCGCCTGTCTCGAAGCCCTCGAACCGTGCAGACTTTGCTGTGTCTGTCTTTGCCTCCGAATGTTTTTGAAACTCTAACGATTCTTGGGTTCCTGAAGGCTGATGTCCATTGTCTCGATGACGAAGATGATGAGCTCGGTCTCAACTGGTTTAGGTTTACTGAGCTCTGATGATGATGATCGGCTTCTTGTTTCGTTTGAAAGTCCTCATCTTCTCTAGAGTTCGATCTCATCTCGAGCTTGAAGGGTATATACCTCTGTGTATACGCAGACAGCGTTCGTTAGCCTCTCAACCAAATTTGAATCTGTTTTAGATCTTTTCGGTCAGGATTATGCTTCTAATGTACAAAACTGAAGTGAAACATATGTATAAACTTTCGTTTAAAGTTCGCAGCTTTAGATCATGTCAAGCAACCAAATCATACGGAAACAAAATATATTTTGAGAAAAAGAGAATTACTCAATGTGTTTTGAACCAACAACTGATCAATTACTCGAGATTGAAGATCAATCTTTCAACACTTTTTTCATCTAAAGCAACAATCTGAAGAAATTCAAACTGAAATAGATGTAAATGAACTTTTTTTTTTACCCAACTGCAAGAATCTAAGACAAGAAATTGGAGAGGGGCTTTTCAAATTCATGAAAAATAAAAGGGATCTCGATCTTACACTAGAAACCAGGCAGAGCTTGAAATCCACCAAGATGGGGATCGGCGAATTCCGGGTCCGGAGAAGGTGAAGAAGATGAGGGGAATGAGAGAACGGAAAGTGTTCAAAGGATATATATGTTTATGATTTAATGTTTTAGAACAATTGATGGCAAAACACACACATATATATATATACACACACACTCCGATTCTAGGGTTTTTTTTTTGTATGAAAGGAATATTTTTTTTAGGAAACTTATAAGTAAATGGCGGTCTCACGGAAATGTTAGTAAAGAGGAGACGTTCTTGGATTCATCTATACACCTGAAAATATATGAAAAAAAAAATAGAAAGATAAAATTATTTTAACGACTTTCAAAAAACTGTGTGGTTCACGTATTTTAATAATTTGTCGGTTCGGAAAAAAATATGTAAGAATTTCTTACACAATATTTTTTTTAAATTATAGTGAAATTCATATATAGAGAGTAAATCTTGATGGTCAAAATCTTTTGTAGCTTAACTAGCTAGTGGCTAGGGACCATACACTGCTTTTTTGAAGGGGAGAAAATTGGATTATACAGACACATATATATATAGATTTCAGATTTTCTTTTCTTATTATTTTCTCTAAAAGCAGAGAAAATTGTTGGAAACCCTAAAAATTTTCAATCTTATTCTCTATAATCTCTATGATTCTACGAGGATATAGCTTATGAATATCAACTGATAATTTAGATTAATAAAGAATGATAAAAAAAAGACTGCAACCTTTTGATAAGTGTTGCGTAGAATTTAATTAATTTGAACTTTACATACCGCATTTGAAAATATATAATTCAGTGACATTTCGAGGAAAATAACAATATCATCACTTACCACGGAATAATTGTTGCATAATATCCTGAATATATATATATATATATATATATAGCCAAAACGTTCCAACATGATTGACGATACATGATTATATGATGTATGCTGCATGTTTTAATATATCTATATATCTTCATTATACTTTTTTTTAATAAGTTTTGTATAGGAAGACTAAGATCCATATATTCAACTAACGGTTCAGTTTCTGATTTTTTTTTTGGTAAAATGAGAGAAATATATTCTCTTTATAGAAATAAATAAATAAACCCTTCAATGGCTAAATCTAAATGTTCAGCAAGGAAAAGGCCCTCACGGAATTTAATACATAATGGGAATGGAATAACGTGTTATATTTCGAAAGGAGTAGTTAGATGCAATTAAGCATATATATAGATGTGTGGGTGTAAGTATATATGTATATTTATAGTAGCGTATGTATATGCCTTATAGATATATGTATATATTAAACGTATATATAGAGGAAGAGGATGGTATTTAGACTGACAGCTAGATGGGTCTCTGTGATATAGAGGATGGACCAAAAGTATAGGTTTTTCTTTAAAGCATCTATGCTTAAATACACAAAAAAAGATTGAGGACCACTTTTATCTATCTATCTATATATGTGTATGGCAGTGAGATTTTTGCCCACATTTTAAGAATAATTTCCCGTAATTGTTATACAAGTTGGTATCAAGATAATGTCTCTGTCTGGTAGTTAATTTATTATATATACATATATATATATATATATATATATATTATGATGAAGTCGGTCGACAAGAGTCTGTAACATCTTCCATAAAAAAAAACGTTAATCATGTTTTGTACATACAAAACCTATTGTTAATTTTAGTTCACTTCCTCTCACTGCTTTTAAAATTTTAATTTTTTATATGTCCTATATGTATGTGTGTACACACATACACACATATATATATATATATATATATATACACATATATATATATATATATACGTATTTGTATGTTTGCTTATCAGAGGTTTCTCTATCTGGGACCTAAGAACTGCAGACACAAGCAGTAGATGATGATGGGACTTGAGTTTCTAGGTTTAGTTCCCTGAACTTTTGGTGCAGCATCTTGGATCTTCAATAGTTATACAGACACACACACACATATATATATATATATAATGTGTGCATACATATATATGTTCATACTTTTGTCTGGATTGGTTTGATTTAACATGCATCCAGAAAGAAACAACTTCACGGGTTTGTTTGATAAGATCTAATTATTTGCATTCATCATCATGGATATCATTTCGGCCCTTTTTGATTAAATTGATGTAGAGATCCATTGAGTTTTGAACTTTAGAGTTCATAAAAAAAACCCTTGAATTTTGGACTATAAATATAAATTCTCTATTTCTAGTGTGTGTGTATATATATATATATATATAACGCGAAAACCCTAATTCACCGTATAAATTGAGATATATATAGGAATGTGAACATAAACACATACAAATCTCATAGTTGTCATGTTTTTGGTGGATTTTAACATTTCAATATATGTTTATTTAGTTATATACTGAACATTCTATTTGTTCAGATAAATTTACAGAACGAGCCCATCAGGTGAACCTATTATATAAACCCTAACATATAACCAATTTCGTCATAATAATTAATGATTTTATTTGATAATAATGTAATCGATGGCCTGAGAGCAAAGTTAAACTGACAAAAGTTTTGAAAAAAAAAATATATACTTTGGTAGGTATAGATGATTGGTCTCCACAGTGCAGTATAGAGTTTTGCAGCCATAGAGGTCCAATCTATAAGCTTAGATATCAATTTATGAGTTATAAAATATAAAGGGGAATCAATTTACAATAAGATGTGATGGGCAATGTAAGGATAAAATTAGATCACTCATATGACTCACATAACCATGCGCAAATATATACATATGGAGACATTAGACCATATATGTCGAGAAGCCAATCTTGCCATACATGCATCGGTTTCGCCTTAAACGTCGGATCGTTTTCCATGGCGGTTCCTTCTTTTGTGTTCAACAATATATATATATATATATATATATATATATATATATATGATATATGTGTAATTCGGATTTGGACAGCTTTGTCTTGTCGTGTGGAAACAAATATTCTGCGTGCATTACTTAGAACAAGTTGTCTTCAATCATTGGGACATATGAGGCCGGTGAGCATCTTCCCTTTTTCTCCCTTTTTTTTTATACGAGACAACCTTATCATAACCATTTTTAAGAAAGAAATACAATATTATTAAATCATACAAATTTGAGAGAGAGAGAGAGAGAGAGAGAGAGAGAGAGAGAGATGGTCCAAGTATATTAGCATCACACTCGGGACAGACAGAATCGCACCATATCTATCCGTAAAATAGTTAACCATATAAAATTGTTTACAAAATATTTCCTAAATTAAATGTCATCACTATACTCACTATAAATTCCTCATTATAAATTAAATTAGCAATCTGTTTTCCGGACCCAAAACACAACTATCATATTCTCTGCGAAACAACCTTAGGCCAAGAATTCCAAGAAAATAGAATGCGATGATACATGCATCCTATTTAGTGTATAAATCTATGTCCATATATGATAGATTCTCTCTATTTTTACATTTACGACACGTTGTAGCCCCCCTGTCCTTTGATCAAAATACAAAGCTATACCACCCTGAAATTAATATACCAAAGTTGGAATACGAAATCACAGCCCTAAAATCCTATCGTCGTCCGATTAAAAAACAACCCTTTTCAAGAAGAAAAAAAAACCCATTAATGACACACTCGAATGGCTCATCTTCTCGCACAAGTAGACGTAAAACGACGAACAGATTCGGACCCTTTTTTTCACTTTTGGCTCATGAGCCGTCGCTGTCTTCTCTGTACGGCAGTTAATGCGGGAGGCTCATGCCTTGAGATGGTGAAAACGACCTGTCCCCCAAACAAGGAAAGAGAAACAGAGAGAGATGGGGTGAAATCCTTACATTAAAAATACGTGGTTTCACCTCTCACATGCATACAAATCTGCGGTTTTGTCGATCTTAAATGCCATCAGTGAGCGCGTCTGCTCTCTCATCGATTCAGACCTGCAAAATGACACTGGGAAACTACCCGTTTTCTCCGCCTAGCATCAGAGTATTACACTTCATGTTTCAGAAAGGTTGCAACTTGCTTTTTTTTTTAAAAAAAAATTCATATGGGTTTTGGATAGAACAAACAAAAAAGAAGACAAGGATTGTCTTTTTAGCCTTTTTACAGATGGAAAAACCAAAATGTAAGTGACATGGCAAGACAAATCCGATGAAATCCTCTGTTTTTGTAACAAATCTAGGTCTTTATGGACCTGCCATTATTTGCAGTTCAAAGGCTTTAACCCTTATTTTGATTAAGCAAACCATAGATATCCTTGTCGGTGGCAAAATCAGCCTTGGGGAGTTCAATGGGCGAATAGTCCAACAAGAATGGCAGACGTGCGAGATCGGAGAGACCTGCAAGGAGAAGGACACAGAGCATTAGAGAGTTACTGGATATTGCCTTAAATGTGCTTAATGGTGAATTCCTCACACAGCAAGCAGTCAGGTGACCTATGTAACTGGACAAAACCCTGAAAATTTAATTCTTTTCACTGTCTCAGCACCATGGATAATCAGTGGAAGTCCACTTGAATAGATCGGAGAAAGACAACAAAATAAATCCTCGGATCTCTTAACGCACAAAATAGAATTTCTATATGCACCCATCTTTTGATTCACCACGAGGATCAAGGATTCATGTTGACCATGAACATAGAATCACAGAAATGAGGAATGACTCACAAGAAAGCTAAACAGAGAGGAACATCCTATAAGAATAGTTTAATCCAAAAGATAAGTGAAAAGGAAACTCCAAAGAATCAAGGGCATCAGTTTGTTAAGGGTTGGGAAACCCCAAAACAAATGGATTCACCTAATAGCAGAGAGGACAAGTATGGTTGGCCACAAAGTAATACCTTCGAGTTTGAGCCCATCCACTCTGAGGATGGGCCACGAAATAGTGAAGCTAACCAATAGCTCAAATGGAAGTGTTAACAGTTAGACACATGAAAAATGAAAGAGAAAAAGAGATCCAGATTCAACAACATTGGACATAATACTGGCAACCTACTTAGTTTCCAGTAGAATGATCTAGATCTAGCATTAGGAACAGCATTAGGAACATCTACCAAGAGATTAGTTAGATATACTTACAAGCAACTAGTTATGCCCTAAGGACGCTATCCCATCTCACCGTACAAAACATGCAGCAAGTGCTCAAAATCTTTCTAGTTTCAGCCAAAATCAGAGACTTATTCTAAACCTCGGATACTCCTCTCAGCATAGAAACCATCCTATTGCTTGGAAACTAGCCATTCCTAAGCAATCTTTAATCAAGTGTCGAGATATTTAGCAACAAGAATGGTACTACAATAGTTCACTGTGTAATTCTTGATTCATCACAGGAATTATCCAGCAACTATCATCAGCACCTTATTAGATAATTAAGACCAAAATTTTCTTCCACAGAAACTACTTATACTGGTATCCACTTCATCCACCCACCTGGCACAATAAAAGTGTTACTCCTTCCTTCCTACCACACTTAGTAATGGCTATCAGAACAATTCATACCGTATGGCCAAACTGCGTCCTAGTCTTTGGAAAGCTACTGCAGACAGGAGAAGCAAGAAAAGAACACCACGAACCACACCTACGCTACAACGCCCTAAATAATCAAAACCATTCTTTTTCAATCCAACTCCATTCCCGAAAATTATTACAATGCATTGTGCAGCAACAAGCTCAATATTTCCAGTCTCAGTTATCATCTTGTTCTTTCTCCACATCAAATATTCCTTTGGCCACCTCAATCAAGCTATTTTGAATCCCATCCCATCCATAAAGATAAATGAAAGTACATTAACTATTGCCCAAAACACAACACACACAAGTCAACTCCACCCAAAGTGTTGCTTGCAGCTAATAAACAACATTAATAGGATGGAATTCCTATGATGGTTGCTATCTATATTACCTTATTTCTGATGGAATAAACCTAGGATCAGCTCCAGAGCCTAACGGCTAGCGATGAACATCTTTGCACAGAGACTATCTTTCTTAATGGCTAATGCCCCATCCAATAGTTCATAACATATACGTTTCTCCGTTTAGACCACTATAATAGCTTATAGGCATCGAAAAGTGACATCTGAAACAGCAAGTCATGCGCTCACCAAGAAGCCCAGATTCCCTAAGCTAAATTAAGTACAAACCCAAAATACAATTGTCATTCCAGTGAAACGAAAGAAATCTAATCGAAATTCATCTGAAGAGAGATCTATAATCTGACAAGCGTAACGAAATCAACCGAATCTCAATCCAACCAGAAATGAACAATCTTAATCGAATATCTCACCTATTACTGGTAGCCCCCTCCGCGGGCATTCTCATCCTCCACGACGGTGGTTGTCAAGTAAACCCTAGGGAACTCCGACACATCGAACGTCTTCTTCTCCTTCATCGTCTGAACCACGTCGTCCTTCTTCAGCACATACTTCCGGATCGGCGGGCGGTTCCGGCGCTGATCTCGAGAATGGTACACGATGTTGTAGACCGTCTCGGGATTCGAGGTCGGCACGATCGGCTTCTCATTCGTCGTGGCGGGGCACCGGAGACGGTACTCGGTCGCTTTCGGCACAGCTAATCGGTACTCCGGATCGGCGCAAGGTCCGGTTATCTCCCATGGCTTCTTGACGAAGCGCCTTAGCGTTTGCATGAGCGAGGAAGCTGCTGCTGCGGTTGGCTTCGCCATTGACGAGAACTTCGCTTCGCGTCAGATTTGGCAGGAACAAGTATCTGAATACTGAATAGGTTATAATAATTGGTTTAAAATCTGTTACCGGGTGGTTAAGGGAGAAGATAAACCGGAACTAACCGAACCCGATTACCAACAAACCAGGAGACATTTTATGGATAAAAGTCGAATTTGTAATATTTTATTTTTATCCATTATAAATGAATATAAAATATTACTATATGAAACTAATACATGATGTACACATATTGTCATCCGGATACCGGTATACCAAAGCTTGGTTAACCGGGACGTACCAAGTTCAGACCACGTTTGGGAGACAACCGAACAAAACCGAGATGGTAGTAGAAAAAGCCCAACTCAGGAGACTTCGTGGGCCGAACATCAGCTTTGTTCTTTTGTTCCAAATCTCTCCCCCCCCCCCCCCCCCCTTCACACACACTC